GGATGTGGTCTTTGGGTGATAGGGGAAATCCTTTGACTTCATGAAATGCCACTCTTCCCACTTTGCCCTTGCAACAAAGGTAGAATTGTTGATATTTACAGGCAATAAAACATCCAACCAGACTTTTTTTTTTATAACATTAAGTTTAATGCAAGCATTTGTGATTACTTTTCAAATCAATTTGCTAGCCAAGCCGAGGTTTTGATTTCTGAGTGTCAAAAACCCTTGTTTGAGTTTACAGGATAAGCAGTGACTTTTAGCTTTAGTCTTACATTGGACAATCTCCAGAAGGGGAAAGGAGAGCGAAATAGCCTGTTAGAACATGCTCCCATACATGCGCTCTCAAGTCTCCATTTCACATTGTTTTTGGCTTCATCAAGGGGTCTGGACCAGGAAGTATTGCTTTTCAGGATAGAGATAATGTTTTAAAAATAAAAAATAAGAATACAATTCCTCACCAAAGAGCAGGACCCAGAATCACATAAGTTCTGAAGGAGCGTGTGCTTTTTTTTTTTCATTGTCCCCAACCTGTTTCATGTTTATTAGAAAGTGGCATGTTGAGCTATCAGTAGAAATATACATTTATATATATAAAGTTTTGCATTCGAATCTCTTGATTCTTTGATATGCCTATAACTAAAGACCACAAATCAAACAAATTAAAAAAAAATCTATATAATATATCCTTATTTCAGATGCATATATATGTACATATATATTTGTAGAACATCCACCTTTTTAAATATGTTCCTGTTAAAAAATGTTATTTACACATTTTGGACAGAGGAGGCATTTGAGCCTTTGGGATGCGGCTAGGAGGGAATGAGCATCATTTGGGGCCAGTGACATAGAGGAAGAGAACAAGGGAATACCATGGAAAACCTCCTCCAAGAAAGTAAGGCGTTTTGATGAGACTGAACATGGAGAGAGAAACGGGAGGGCTTCAATCACTGGGCACACATTGGGCAAGACTAGACATCACGTCATGGGGGTAGTCGTGCTTGGTCAAACACTCCGCATTTTCTAACATCCTGAGGATAAGGAAACTGACTTTGTCCTCCTCCTTTGTTTCCACCTGTTGTTCTGCCATCTCCTACCAGCAGCAACTTTCTGATCATCAATGATTTACATCCAAAAAATAGTCCCCATCCACAACAAGTTTTGTTAAATGTGCTGGTGCTTCCAAGCTAGGTGTTCAGATTCAGAGACCCCATATATAGCCACAGTAGTCACTGGGCTCTCTCTTTACTGAGCCAATCTGTAAAAAATAAGAGGGTGGGGGTGGGGATGTACTATGGGAACCAATGCTGGGAAAGTGAAATGGGCAAGTCACCATCTAACCCAATGTTGTGGCAACCATCAGGTCTCTCTGATGCCCTTCATCTTCCACAACCCCATAAACTCTGAACTCAAAATTCACGTTTACATTGTGTTTTTTCTTGAAAACTTCAAATAGCAGCACCTTTAAGCATGGAGGGTATCAGGTATGCCTGACAGGGAGTCTCTTGTAAGTCTCCCAGTGTGTGTATATGTGTGTATATGGTTTTCATCTTCATGGATTTGAATAATGCTTCAACAGAGTGTCTAAGAATGCATGGATCCCAATCTGCCCATGACTACTTGGATCTCTTGGAGAACTTGGTTGTTGAGGGAATGTCCCTGAAGACAACTGGCTGTATTAAACACAGTCTGGTACCTCTTAGGGATTGGACTAACCAATGGGAAAGAAAGAAGGAGAACCAGGATGCCTGGAAATGACCATCTGAATTAAAGTATGGGAGAAAGAGCTAGAAAGTAAACAATTTCTTTTTTTTTCCGCCAAAAAAATGAAGATTGTTTAAGTTGAAGAAATAGTTGGGTGGGTGGGATTTTTGTGTTTGGGAGCACACAGAAAAGTGGATGGAGGTGGATTATCTACAATTCAATATCAGCACTGGAGATGAATTCTCTGGTTTTTATATCTTTGCCAACATATTTGTCATGCCAACATTGTGTGGGCAGCAGCTGCCCAGGCTCCTGACACTCCCTTCCACCACTGATCCTCAGCCATTCTGTAGGAGGCCCCTCACTCTTGGTGTGCCCATGATGGGTCAGGCTCCTGCACAGCGGGGCAAGGTCACCTTCATTTCCAAAACAATTTCTTGAACTGAACATTGAGTTGAAATTATTGAGAAAACATAGGCTCTAATTTGTGTCCTTATATTCCTGTTCTCACTTTTGCTAGCCTAATCCCTGCACCTCGGCTCAAATATACACGACATAGAGTAGATGCCATTGCAGTTTGCTTGGTCTTTTTGTTGATGGCTGAATCCTCTCTCTTGATCTTATCTCTTTATAAGAAAAAGGGATGAAATCAATCTAGCCAGTTATATCTTTATCACTATTTTCAATTTGCTCTGTAAAATGGCCCTTTTGTTTTCTTTCTGATAATTCTTGTAAACTGAAGCTCAAGTAGAGCTCCTGCGATGTAACCCATTCCCAATCTGTGAAAGCCTCCTCCATCATTTCAAAGAGAATTATCCTTGATAATAGTCATCTGGTTACCTGGTGCTGCTAAAAGCACAGATACAATTGTGTTGAATGGAGCAGGGCGAAGAGGAGTAAGGGCAAATCTGGAGCTCTTTCCACTGTAATTTTCCTATGGGGGCAACAGCTAGAGTTTAATGTTTTTATATGCCATTTCAAAGCATTTATCCTTAAAAAGTTATTGCCAAAATCCTACATGCGTAGTCTTTGCTATTACCTTGGAAGGTCTTGACCTTGTTCTGCCATTCCACTTTTGGCCAAGCCTTGATGACATACGTGGGAAGTGGGTAGAGGGCAGCTGTACAGATATAGCCTAGCACATGAGCCACTCATGTTTTGATATTATGATGAGTGGAAGCAGTTGTTTACAGCTAAGGAAAGGGAGGTCACTTTGAGGGCACATGGCAACCCATCTCAAAGTCATGATCATTGTAACACCCAGATGTTTGGTCAGCAGGTGGGGGAACTACAGGTTTGGTATTTGGAATAAGACATATGGGACAGTGAAGTTGTTTGTAGATTTGTCTGCTCTATTTTCTTTCAATAAGCACTACTAAGGCATCATGTATTTTCAGTCAGGATACAGTAGAGAGAATATTTCATCTGTAGCCCTGGCCTTGCACTGCGATTTATGACCTGGATGACCTTGGGAAAGTTTAAATCTCTCTAGGCTTCAATTATTCAGCTATGAGATGAGGAGGTTAGACTTAATGACTTCTGGGGTCCTATCCAGTTCTGAATCTATAAACTCAGATGAGTGTCCTCTCTCTGTCTCTCTCTGTCTCTGTCTCTGTCCTCTCTCTCTCTTTCTCCCTCTATCTCATGTTTTCCCTTTATCTCTCTCCATCTTTGTGTGTCTTTCTATCTCTCATTGTGTCTCTCTCTTTTTTTACCTTTATCTCTCTCTGTCTTTGTGTTTCTTTCTGTCTAGTATTTCTCTCTATCTCTGTCTGTATCTCTCTCTATCTCTCTGCCTTTCTGTTTCTGTCTTTCTGACTCTCTCTCTGTCTCTTCCTCTCTGTATCTCTCTGTCTCTCTGACTCTCTCTCTCTCTCTCTCTCTTTCTTGTTTCACCCTCAGACATGAATCAACATTGATTTCAATGAGATTACTGAGCTTTGTTACAGATAATTAGATAATACATTTCTTCTCTAGCCACTTCCTTTCTTCCCTTTACTATCATCCAATCACACTCTAAGATGCTCTCCTACATATAGCCCTAAAGATGCACTTTTCTATGGCCACAATGAGTCCCTAAACTTAGCCCTGAGAACACAGTCTAGACTGTGTGGGTATTCTCAGACTGTCTGTGGCATTGAGGGTAGTCAAGAGAATTGGTGAATCTATAAGGGGTTCAAGAGATAGCTATATTACCAGACAGATGATGGTCCAAGAAGGTAAAGGGAAAGTGGAATGTTTTTAGGGCCCTGAGTCAGCTGTCAAGTTCAATACCATTCTTCCTGATGACTCAGCTGACATTGGGTAATGCCTTGTGTGTGTCAATTTCAGGCAAGGGGGAAAGGAATGAAGGCAAGTTTGCCCTTAACCATGTTCCAGGACTTCTATCCATTCTTCAAAACTCCATTTTCCCAATTAATCCTGGATGAACCCTCTGATATGGGAGATCCATTATCTCCCTACTCAAGAGTTTCCACAAGATAGGAGATGAATATAATGGTTAACTAAAACAGTGAAATTTCTAGAGGGGGATTTTCAGCATGACCACAAATATCTCCAAGATACCTTTAATCTTATAACAGTGGCTTTTCTAAATGACATTTTTGAAAACCCCTTAACAAAGCCTTTGAAAATTGGAATGAAGTTTCAATCAATAGGATCTGAGTTTTTTTTTTTTTTCCTGAAATGTTGGTGTCAGCTAAGATCATTAAAAATCCTAAAGTTGTCCTTCCACCTGCAACCTTCTTCCATGATACTGCAAATGATGAATAATCCAACATTCTCTGGTGCTGCAAAGTCCCATGCAGAATGGCCTGAATGATGGGAGAGGGGGTAGGAGAAAGGGGGTTGAAAAGGGAGCTTTCAGCAGGCATTTTGGAAGCTTTAACAGAAAACACAAACCCACACGTTTTCAGGCTTCTTAAAAAGATAGGGAATTACAGAGACAGCCACAAAGAGTACAACAAAAACACAAAAGCAGCCCTTCCCCCACTTTAGGGCTTGTTGTAGCAATTCAAGCAGTCTGGGGTGGTGGGGGTAGTGGAGAACCTCAGGGGTGAGGTTCTTTTCTCCCAAGTCCTAGCTTTTTATGGTAGCATCTTTATGAAAATTATGCAGGGTGCTACCTTTCCCCTCTCCCATAATAGAGTGAAGGGTTTGCTTAAAAATGATAGTGGAGACTAGATTTATGTACCATTTTTCTTCACATTGCATGTGTGTGTGTGTGTGTGTGTGTGTGTGTGTGTGTGTGTGTGTGTGT